AAATAGGGTGGTGTCATTAAAAAAAAAACTTCTCAAGAAGCACTAAGCCAGAAAAGCTGAAACAATGGAAGCATTCTGGGATAGTGTGGATTTCAAATGGTTAAAATCATGACCCCCGGAGTTATGGGCGGGGCCACAATAGGGAATCCAAATTTTACAAAGAAAGATAAAAAAAAAGTTTAAGAATCTTTTTTCTTAAGAACTACTGAGCCGGAAAAGCTGAAACTGCTGTTGAAACATCCTGGGTTATGTAGATTCTAAATTGTTAAACTATGACCCCAAGACTAGGGCGGGGTCATAATATGGAGTTTTACATAGGAATATATAGGGGAAAAAATTAAAAATGTTTTTCTCATTAACTTTGAGCGATGAAGGCTAAAACTGAACTCTTTCTATTTGCAAAGAATTTTAATGAAAAATATTGGAAATGGAAATTCAAGGTTTTAAAATCTACATAATGCACATCACTATTTAAAAAAATCCACTTGTTGGAATTTAATCCATACATGATCTTATTTCTAGGTGTGGAATACTTTGAACTGTATAATAACCATGCTATAATGATATGTAGGTTAAAAAAAGGTTCTTTTCTTTGATAAAGAAGCGAGGTATGAAACGAGGAATGTTAGTATTTGACAACGGTATTAATGAAAACTTACTTTAGTGTTTTAAGTAAGCTACCAGGTAAATTGATTTTTATTTGTGTAAATTCTGTAAGCCTTTAGTATCTGCCTTTTTCTTTTTATTTAACCTTTTTATTCATGTAATTTGGATATTTTTTTTACCAATGAAAAGATAAGTTTTTTACAAGAACAAAAGGAAATATTATCAAGAGAAAAAGTTCAATTATACATTTAAATGCCATTTAAGAAGAGAAAAAGGCCGACATTCTTATAGGAGAAAATCTTAATGAATTTCATGCATTTTTTATAGTTCTTGAAGATTTATATATAAATTTTGTTTTATTTCTTGGATTATTCTAACAAAAATTTTACCATTTGATACAAATTTTAATATCCCTTTTTTATTCATTGTTTATTGCTTTAAAATTATTTATTTATTTTTTTTATTATTATGACAGGAAGAGAAGACAACAGAAAAGAGACTCAGATATGAAATTGCAACATGTATTCATATTTTATTTCGAGATACATGTATATTTAATGTTTCTACAGGTAAGTCTTTCTCTCTCTCTCTCTCTCTCTCTCTCTCTCTTTCTCTCTCTCTCTCTCGTTATTAAATGTAGTTAATACCTATTAACATCTGTATATGTCAGTTTAAAGGTATATAATATAATACAATAATATCAACACAGTTAAATGTATGCCGAAAATATTTCCTTTACATAAAAGCAGTATTTCTTTATTTTCTGTAAGGGTTGATTATCTATTTTAGATCACGCGAGTAAACCAAGGTAACAATTTGTTTTCCGTTTTCTTCCGTCCCCGTGTGCTAACATTCGAACATTTCCAGCTCTTTCTCTGCAACTGACCGTTCACTGTAGCTCAGTTGGTAGGCCTAGTGCGCTCGCTTCGAGACTGGGAGGTCGTGATTTCGAATCTCGGCCGCAACTGACCTAAGTCGATAGAAAATGGGTAGCAGCTGTTCCTTTGCCATGCGCTCGGCACTTTGAAAGTTGCGGGTCCTTCGGATGAGACCTTAAAAACCGAGGCCCCGTGTCAGCGGCAGGCATTTGTACGATAATGATCCCTCATTGCTCAATGGCCCTTAGTGCCGAGTAAAGGTCAAAATTTGAAGCCTTTCACCGGCATACAGTGAAAAATTCTCGAGAGGGTCTTAAACAATATACAATCAATCTCTGCAACTGCTCAACGAATTTAACCAATTTTGATGTTAGACATCTATGAGTGAAGTCGGACAAAATTATTGTAAAATTCATCCCCCCCCCCTCCCCTGGAGCAGAAGGAGTTGGGAGAGAACAATAAAATGAGTGCAATCTTTAAAAAGTCTCTCCTTTATTATTGGACAAATTGCAGACAAACTGTTGGCATCAATATAATATGCATGGGTTCTCTACCAAAACTTTGAAATTTATTGTCTGAGGCTCAGGGTCCCTACATGAAAAAATATCAAAATTAGAATTTAATTGGAGTATTCAACTGTCTACTAGTTGACGGTCAACTGACTACTAGTTGACGGTCAACTGAACGTCAACTGACCATTAGTTCAATTTTTGCCGTGCAAATGAGGCAGCGTTCAACTCATTTGCATAGATTGGACAAATGTTGTGCTCCTATTTATTCTTTGCAGTTGACCGCTAGTTGAATATTCCTCTTTTCCTTTGCAGTTGACCGCTAGTTGAATGCTCCTCTTTTTTTCTTCCAGTTGACCGCTAGTTGAATACTCCTATTTTTTCTTTGCAGTTGACCGCTAGTTAAATACTCCTTTTTTTCCTTTTCAGTTGACCGCTAGTTGAATGCTCCTCTTTTTTCCGTCCAGTTGACTGCTAGTTGAATACTCCTCTATTTTCTTCTCAGTTGACAGTTAGTTTAATGTTCCTCTATTTCCTTTGCAGTTGACCGTTAGTTGAATGTTCATCTATTTCCTTTGGAGTTGACCGCTATACTCCATTGCTAAGTGCTCTTTGGTGGGATGCACTGTGTTTTTGAAAATTAGGCTGCCATGTCTCTGAGTATGAAAAGTCAAAACAATTCTAAACTGACATAAATGTACATATACATCTAAATGCAAGTAATAAATAAATTGAGCTGGAACATTCCCATAAACAAATTGAGCTGGCACATTCCCATAATTAAGTTGCTACATGCCTTCTTCATTTTCAGTGCAGAAAAGGTATATAGATTAAGTCCATAGCAATTACATATTTTTTTACCATTACAACAAGAAACACAACAAAACACTTGATGCATATGACACGTTTTCAGAATTCTTTTAATATTTAAAATATTACACAATAGTACCGACCTATGCTGGCTACAGTTTTTTTTTATGCCTGATATTTGTTTTAAAAATAACAAGCTTAAAGTAAGACAAATCTTTAAATTTCGTAAACTTTCATTTTATGAGATTTCACACGCTGAATCATTGTGAAGACAATGAATACCCCACCTGCTAGAGACATCTAGAGGGATCTTTTTCGTGACAGCATCTACTGCGACATGGGACCTCAATTTATATTGTTTCATCCGAAGGACCGGTCTCTAAGTCCCGCAGAAGGATTCGAACCCGCGACGTCAGGAATTACTCCTTATTTTGCGAATCTAGAACAGACACTCTAACCACTGCGCCACGCAGGTTACAGTGCTCTTTTGATTATATAGTGAAAATGCTTTAAGTTCCTATGGAGTGTGGGCACTACTGATTATTGATGAATATTACTGTTTAGTTGAAATTCATTTATCCCCCACCTCCCCCATCTCCCCCAACTCTGCCTATGGGTATTAGGTAATCAAACTATGCATGCTTAATGTACAGATATGATAAGCAATAGAGTCCCTTTTCAAATCGTAAAGGTCATCCCTTACCAAACTGATATGTTTGCTGCAGGCCTGCAGCAAGTCTGCTGCAAGCTTGCAGCAAACAAAATTGTTCGCAGGAAGAAAATTTTCTTGTTCGCAGATGATTGCCGCTAGCTGCGATCTTGCGGCAAACATTGCAGCAATTGCTGCAAGCTTGCAGCAAATTCGCAGGAACCCAACATGTTTGCAGGAACATAGCAAGAAACATACACGCCAATTTAATGTTCGCAGCAAGTTTGCAGGAAACTTTTCACAATTCAAATGTTTGCAGGAAGTTCGCAAGAACAGTAAACAAGTCAAATCAGCCAATGAAACGCAGATTGTACTGGGTCAACACAAAACTGGCCATTTTGAAATGTTGGAATTGAAGTTGTACATGTTTCAGTATTTTGGTAGGAATATACATCGATTTGAATGATTAAAAATGCCAAACTCTGGATGTAGGTGTTCATTCTATCAATGATATCTAATTGGTAAGAAATGATTTTGATTTATTTTGATATTTGAAAGAATATTTCTTAAAAGCACGTTTGAGTAACTGGTGTAAATGCTAGGTCAAATCTAAATCTGTTTCTTATGAATTTCAGTCCTCTTTTTGATATCACATATGTATACTTCTTAAAAGTATTAATGGACCCAAATCAGTTAAATGTTATAAAATTAATTAGTAAATGTGTAATCACAAAAATATTCATTAAAAATTATATGTAAAGTTCTTAAAGTTCTGTTCATATAAAAAGCTAACATGCACTTTCATTTTAAAAAGGTATGAAAACTTTGTCTAGAAACGTAAAGAGGGCCTATCATAACTTCATAAAACTGCATCTTTTCAGAAACGTGTGGTGGATTTTCTCTAGACTTAACAGATTTAGGTCAGGACAAAGGCTTTCTGTGAACTTGCTGCTTGTACAAAGGAATGTGCCAAAACCATAAGGAAATTGTTTGCTGCAAGTTAGCAGCAATGTTTGCTGCAAGCTTGCTGTAATGTTTGCGGCAGGCTTGCAGCAATGTTTGCCGCAAGCTTGCAGCAATGTTTGCGGCAGGCTTGCAGCAATGTTTGCCGCAAGCTTGCAGCAAGGTTCCCTTATTTGGAAAATCCAATGTTTGCTGCAGACTTGCAGCAAACCTCATTTGCATGGTAAAATGTTTGCAGCAAGCTTGCTGCAGACTTGCCGCTAACTTGCTGCAAACACCAAGGCTTTGTATAGACTGTCATGCTTTCTTTGGCTACATTGCCAAAAGCTTGAAGCAATGTCTGCTGCAAGCTTGCAGCAATGTTTGCTGCAGACTTGCAGCAAATATTTGCAGGAAGGCAATATTTTCGGTAAGGGATGGCCTCTTGCTTAAAACAGGAACCAAAAATAATGGGTTGGAAAGTTTTTGCATGATTCTTAGTTAACATATAATGGCCATGGGCATCTTGTTAAATTTATCCAATCTCCATATTTCAGTTGATAATTTCGTCACCTATTAATTTTGTGGATTCTGAATATTGTGGTTTCTCGAAATCCACACAAAATAGGTCAAATCATGTCCTGTAAATGAAGCATCATGGATTAAGGCTGCAAATGAGTTTAGTTGTTCAAATCATGAAGACAAATGCGGAGGAAATTTGAAATATCATTGCCTTATTAATCCTTAACAAAATGAAACAGTGGAAGTTTGTGCTCCTGCAACAAGTATTCGTTCAGGTAACGTTGACAATTTGAAACACGCGTCAAATTTTCACATTCCTAAAACATTTATTTCTAAATGCTGAATTGTTGAAATCCTCACTTTATATATTGTTTATGATACATAATATTGCGCAGATTTGTTTTGCAAGACTGATAAATATATATACGAATAATTATATCTTGTTTCAAATTAACTTTCAGTTGTAATCTTTCTGGGGGATTCTTTTAATTTATCTATATTTAACCATTAATGGGGTACACGTGAGCACCTCTCTAAACTACATAGAACTACGTAGGGTTTACCCATATTTTGTAGATGCTTGATTACATAGATATATTAATTAAATATGTTAATCAAATTAGTCTAAAATAGATTTAAAATTCATTTATTTCTAATGAGATCATATGAACAATACGAACAGCAATCTATACAGGACATGGCTTAGGTTTTTTTAGCATGACAAGGAAATCTGTATTAAATCCTTGTTTGTACTAAATTAGCCTATCATGAATCTCCTCTCAAATAAATTAAGAATGTTATCTTTCTTGCAGTGTTCACTTTCGAAATATTTTTTAATAAGTAGTCCAGTATATTTCATTGCAATGAGTTGCATGTTTTTGACCCCCCCCCCCCAAAAAAAAAAATAGATAAAAAAAAATAAATAAATAAACATGAATTTAATACAGCAAAAAATACTGTAAATCACTTTTTATTCGCGAGAACTTTATTTTCGCGTAATTACGCGAGATGGTATGCTCGCGAAAATTTCATTCACGCGTATAATAGAATTCATTAAGATTAGATAGTGCAATGACCACAATTCGTGAAAATTTTGTCTCGCTTATAAAGAGTCAATGACAATCTCGCAAAAATAAGGTGTCGCGAAAATTAAGTGATCTACAGTATTAGTTGACTGTCAATAAATGTTTGAAGTTCATTCATTCACACCCGCATATTGTTTTGAAAATGTTGCGTGATTCAGGGCCTAAAATTTCTTATATCGTTCAATATATTTTAAAATCATGTTGATCCAAATTGCTAGTCTTGACATTTTTCATGTTTCAATAGAATTAGTGATATTTTACAGTACAATTAACTTTTGTCATTGACCGTGAACATACTAACATTTGAGAAGAGGTATTTCTTTTACATAAAATCCATTCATAAAATGGTAAACAAAGCTAAAAAAAACCATGAGAAGAATGTGGTTTAAAAAATGAGGTTATTGTTGTGCATGATTGTGCATTTTTTCTACAATTTTATACTAGGTCACTGTGCCGAATACAACACAAGAGGAGGGAAAATACAAGAATTTTATCTCTCAAATTGTATTGCATGCAAAAATGGTTACATTTCAACAGAGGCATTTAAGTGTATGTATGCTTTTTTTATGACAAACGTTATAAATGTTCGATCATGTCAGCTTGACAATTTTAGCCCTTTGTCACATCTACACACTGTATGCCTATAACATTTTGCCTAAAACTTATCAATTCAAGAAAGCGGTTTATACTTCCTAGCATATGGATGATGCAGTGTACATATTTTATAGTACAAATATTTTTTTATCCAACTTTCTTATTAATAAATTATTATTAATTATAAGTTGTTGACGTAATAATCCAAGCCTGCTATTCGTTTATATTGACCATACATCTATATCTTTTTTTTATTTATTATAAATATTATTTATTTGTTGTCTTTTTAAAAACAATTGCATTTCAATTTGATATATTAAATGTGGTAAGAAATCACAAGAGTGTAATTTTCTAAAGACCAAAGATAATTTAGTATATTTTTAATGTGAGATGCCCCCATAAGCATATGGATAAACTATTTTTTTAAAAATGATTAATCACCAAAATGAAATTACTCAATGTATTTCAAGAGACAATGAAAACGATGATGACGTCGGTACAGCAGTAATTGACTTCTTTGAATGCATTTAAAAAACATGTTAAACTGAATATTTGATTTGAATAGTTAGAAATCAGTATCAAAAGTTTAAGTACAAGTGGCGGAAGTCTTGATGTAATTTTAATACCCGTTCGTCCATAAATCGACTTTATAGCTTAGTTATTACGGGACACCCACCGTAATTGATGTTAAACAATCGTTTTGTTTAAATACCCATTCTTCGAATTCCATAAATCGACTTTCAGCTCAGTTGTTATGGGAACACCAACCTTACTAGATGTTAAAAACTCGTTTACATGTATTTTGAAAAGTACATGTATTTTCCCAACTTGTTGTATCTTTGTTATCCCCACAAGTCTCGAGGATACAAAAACCCCAACCCATTGGTTCAAAATGATATCCAATGTAACCTGAAGATGTGAAGTGGACATATATTGTTACAGACCAAGAGTGTTATCTAGAGGTATACAAACCAAAACACAGATTGCTGCAACAGCAAACAAACCGATTAGACAAGGAAACAACGAAACACGAATCGGGGCAAGAAACAACAGACAGTTTATTGAACAAATTAAATTACAAAAAATATCAACAATATGAAATATGGAACATGTTGAAACAGCAGCGTTATCGAAATCAAACAGAGCAGGAAAAAGATGAAGCACGAGATCATCAAGAAATTGAATCAAAGTAAAGTTTCCTTTTTAGAACAATTTAGCTATAACCAAAGTTCTATTTAAAAAAAAATATGAACAAATTAAGTTTTATATTCAATGCAGACAACTCTTTTTAAAAATTATATAATTTGAATTAAAAAACTATTCCTTTTCATGTATTTTTTGTGTATTTTACACTGTATAACCAAAATTGGCACTGTATATTAACAAGGAAATTACTTAAACATAGCACAGTTGGTTATTTATGAACTTTTTTTTCTCTCCAGTTAAAGTTTTCCTTATCGATTTTCTTTTTTAATTACAGGGTAATGGCTAATGCTGCTAACAATGGAGGACAGAGTATCATCAACAGGAAGATTTTATATCTTTGTGTCATTCTTCTCCATTTCAAACCTCTATTTGAAATAAGTTTTCGTTTTTCCGTTGCATAGTAAAATTCTTGCATAGTAAAGTGCAAAGAAAAATGAATACTTCTCAATAAAAACAACCGTAAACGTTAGTATTGTTCTCTCGCCAACCTCTGAGACAATTTTGAAAAGTTAAGATATTCAAATTATTTTTAAAATTTATATTGTTATACATATGGATTTTCAGAAAACATTGCTAATGTGATAAAACAACGAAAGATAATTCTAAGATATGGGTAAAACTCATATTTTTCACCATAGAAATTAACGGAAAACGGAAAATATTTTTAAAACACCTCCTCCATGAACAAAAATTCCATTTTACGGGAAATATGGACCTCCTGTGTGTAGTCCATTTCACAAATCCATACCAACTAAAGCTTTTTGTGGTTCATGGGGGAGGGGCATATGTTTACATGTATAAACAAAAAACTACAAAAATGCTTATTTTTCAGCATTGTTCAAGTGCTGTACAACTGAGACATTGTATTTTACTAATGGAGTTTTATGAAGAGACTTACTTTTACAATCGACGACTGACTTTTACAATTTAAACAGAGACAAACTCCAATCACTAAAATGTAAAAATCAGCTGTCAAATGTAAAAGTAAGTCTCTTCATAAAACTCCAATATGCATGCTTAATTTTGTATGTACAAAACATATGAAAAGATTCAGAAACATTAATTCATACCGGTATCCAAGACTATTTCATAATATGTAGCATCCACAAGTCATTTTACGTTATTTATTACGCTATGTGACAGTATACAAATCTACCAGTTTTAAAAAGCGTATTTAACACACTTTCGTGTCTCTAACTTAAATCTAATTGAACTGTAAAGATAAATTGTTAAACAATCTAAAAATTATAATTTTATAATTTTTTATTGCTGTTTTTTGTTTTAATTCCTATCAAATGTTCAAGCATGTTCTGAAATAAAACGTCACGATTTTAGCGCGTCGTAAAAACCGCATTCTTTTATTCCGCTGTTTATAGGACAACGTACAGAGGATATATTCAGATTTCTTTGTACAGTGGTAGATACAGCTGATTATTCTGAATATAATGATACCAAACACGACTAGCCAGATTCGTATATTGCTATGATTATGGATAGTCAAATGTAAGCATTTTTTCGGAGAGTTTTTTCACTCGTTTGACGAACCGATTGCATATATGTGTTACAATAATAGATCGAAAGAGAATCTTCTCCTCTTTAAGAAACTGTGTAGATTTATTTTCCTTACATCGGCGCTAAGAAGCGATCTTTCAAATAACAACACAACATATAGCCAGCGCGAATGATATTTGACGTCATTTTCACGCCCTCTACGATTCCTGGAAATTGTTTTGTAATGGAGTTTGTTTACTGTAACTATAGAAATATTCAGAGGGGGATAACTCTCGATGTCTTTTTTATGGGGTACCCGAAGGGGTTATTTTAAATATAATATTTTTTTATCTAAGAAAAATACTAATTAAACATGTCAAAAATATTAAACAAGGAACGATGATTAGGACTGAAAAAGAAAACTTCTATAAAGTAAAATTGACGTTATAATTTTGAAGCAATAAAAAATTATAATCATGAGAAAGAAATAATATAAATTAATATGTAAGAAAATAAGTATCTATTGTAAAGAAAAAAATACAATAGCCTTCTGATTTTTTGATTAAAAGAAATGTAAATAAATTCAATTGAGTTCATGAATAAATAATTTTATTGTATGGATATGCTAAATTCCAGAAGAACGTGTTTACAAAATTCATGTCACAGAAAATTTTGTACTTTTGGTACGTGGGATATCTTTTTTTATAACGTTCATTCAGCTTGTCTGATCATATGATTTTTTTTTTCCATTGATATACAGTTTATATCCATACATTGGCATTTTATTGAAACTTAATATATATGTTTTTATTATTTTTATATACAACACAAGTGTAAAAATAGTATTTGGTAAATACTATCTCTGAAATTTCTAAGTATTCTTGATTACAACACTAACAATAAATTACATGCATGTTAGGGCATAAACGTCGGAAGCAAATTGAAAGTGGGGGGGGGGCGGCTAAACCAACAAAAAATATCTATCTTTAAAAAAAGGGGGGGTTAAGACCCCTATACCCCCCCTTACCACCCCCCCCCCCCGGTTTCGATGCCTATGTAGAATATGAACATATGGATGGGTAGACGGATGAATAGTAAAAATCAAATAGGCAAAATAATATTACTGATGCATCAAAGAGGTCTAAAATTTAAACAAGAAATTAAAATTGTGGTTCCCCAGCTGCATTTCATTTCTGGTATTTTTCACTTCTAGAGCATCTCAGGCGGTTCATACATCGCACCTCGGAGGTTTGAATGGAGCCTAGCGGAGTCAGCCGAGGATTACCGATTGGAAATTTTTCGATATTTCATCTTTTCATGGCCGACATGTTTTAGTTTTCATTTCTGACATTTTAAAATTTTCATTTCTGACTCTTTTCAGATTGTACTTTTTGGTTATTAAAACAGTATTGAAGAATTCACTTATGAAAAATTTCATTTACGTGATGAAAAAAAAATTAAAGTGTATATCAAATGTCTTAGACATTGACATCTAATTTAGTGAACATACATGGGGATAAAAGTGCTGCATGTACCGATGTACTATACATGTACGTGTATAGACAAAATCTTTAATTTGTTTTACCGGCTGTTTGTCTCTATGTGGGTAATATTACATTATTTATGGCATATTGTTCCAAATATGAACACCCTATAATATGTCATTCAAAAGTTATAACTAAAGTTGATTTTTTGAAAATTAGGTCAAACATATAGGTCCAGATCAAGGGGGTCAGAAATCATATCAATGAACATGTTAAATATGAAAGCATTATCTCTTCTCAATCAGAAGTTATAAGGGGAAATTGCATTTTTGAAAAGTATGTCAAACGTCAAGGTTCAAGGTCACAAGGTCAAAATCCATAGTGTATTTAGAAATGATAATATACATATGAAATGTGAAAGCTCTATACAGTGTATTTTCCATCGTCACAAACCACGACTAAAATGTACAATCCTATCACATACTAGTAAGCGGACGCCAAACCGTGGCTTGTGACTTTGTATCTTTTTCTCATTCAAAAGTTATGACCAAGGTTCAAGTTTTTGAAAAGTATTTCGAACTTCAAGATCAAGGTCATGAGGTAAAAAATTATTAGGGGCCGCCAGGAGGCGGTCGGTTACTCGATATGAAAGTTTGAAGTGGCCGTGCGTTTCTGCGGACTTAGAACAATTTAAATAAAAATATTTAATATTTATATTATATAGAATATTAGAAAAGCTATTTTAAATGTTTAACAAAAAGCACAATAATCATAAAATCAAAATTTTATAAATAATGGGTGTAAATGTTTCATCCAATCCTGATTGACAAACTCTAACATGACAGAGACTTGAAAGAGAAGAAATGTAGTGATGGATCTTGGGGGAGTTGGAAGGGGGGTGTTAACATTCTCTAAGAGAGAGCGAGGAGCCCCACATATTTTATATTTGTTGCGAAAACTACTTTAACATTAAACTTCTACCATAGTTCGTTTACAAGTACCAAACTGAGTGCAGATACGCAGAAGTCTATGGACAGTTTGCTTATACAAATACAGTTTATTAGGTCTTTCCACCTTTCTGTGGAAAGACCTCTTGAAATGCTTCTGTTTATTATTATTTTATTTCTGGAGATGTTTTGAAACCGTAAGACTTATCGAAAAACTTTATAGTTTATGATATTGGATATTAAAAGTTATTCCGAAAAATGACCCCCCATATTTGATCTTTGACCCCTTTCGAAGTTATTGCCCCTTTTGCAAGAAATGCTTGTTATCACTACTCCTCAGAAACCGTAAACCATAGAGGTATGAAACCTTCATCAATGTCTTCAACTAATTAAGGGGACTCTTCAATCTATGCATTGCGAAAGTATTCGATGACCCCTTCAATGAGTTATTGCCCCTTAAACTTTTTGAATATTATAAATATTTAAAAATTTTCAAAACGAGAAGTCGTAGAATCATTAAATCAACTGCATAAGATTAAGTGACCTTTGACCTTTAAAATTATGTAAAGGTCAAAGGTCAAGGTCATTTCAAAAATGAGAAATTAAGCATTTTTTATATCTCTTTTGTCTTTTAACATATACTTAATGTCTTTGCATCAATAATATGTAATCTTAAAACTATTTCAAAGATTTCATTCTTGTCCCCTAGGATTAACCCTTTTAAAAGTTATGGCCCCTTGTCCAAAAATCCTTGTTATCGCTACTCCTCCCAAACTATAGACCATAGAGACATCAAACCTTCACTAATGTGTCAAGGGTCTTTAGGCCTAACTTCAATGTATAAATGCGAAAGGATCTGATGACCACTTATATGAGTTATTGCCCTTTAACTTCTTTGTACTTAATATTAAACCTTATAACT